GCTCCGCGGGGCCATCAAAGAGAAAACAAAGAGGCGCCGCAGCCGCGGCGGTCCCCCCCGACCGCCACGCCCAGGACAAAGGAAGAGGCCTGGCCGCCGCGCCAGGGCCCAACGAGGACAAGACAGGCTGCTCATCAGGCTGGCGGCCGCCGCCAGCAGGCTGGAGCAGCACCAGTGCCCAGCAGCCCCAGCGCCACCAGCAGCACGCGATGGCGCAGCAGGGTCGATGGACAGGATGGCGGGCCGAAGGGGATCAGCGGAAAGGAGGACAGGAGCATGGTCCTCAACCGCTGGCCCAGGTCCCGCCGTCGGCGAGAGACAGTATCCGTGGAGATCTCAGAATTGGAGGTGGAGAAAAGGATGGACCCCCCGACAAAAATCATCATCACGGTCGACGCCAAATAAGAAATGGTACACACTCCGGAAACAGCCACCGCGACAACAGCAATGATTACCTGGAGCCGAAGTTGACGAAGAAGCAAACCGAGATTGTTGACCAGATCACACCAGCCCTCCTCTCGGTTGCCCAAAAACCACGCAAGCTTCCCATTCCCACCCCAAGAGCGAGATATCCGACGTGTGTGGTATGTAACCAAGATAGCGAGACTTGGTCGTCTTGCTGAGCAGATAGCCGGTGCTAGGCAAGCCCAAGTCGATCCAAGTTATGCCACGAAGTAGCGATCACGAAGACCATGGTCCAGCTGATCATCGAGCCCACTGAGAGGATCGTGACCTACAGGCACCAGGTTGAGGAGCTGAATAAAAGAAGGCGAAAGATCGAGACCAGCATCCTCGAGCTCAGCAACGAAGACAAGGAGATCAGCGATAGCATCACGGCATTCAAGGCCCTCATCCAGGAGACGAAGAGGCTCAAGGACTTCAAGGACCAATACGAAGAGTCCAGCTGCGACGGAGACAAGGACTGCGAGAGCGACAACAGAGGCATCCGTGGCAGGACTCCTCACCCCGCAACGCGACAGCGGCACCAAGCACCACGTACTCCACGGGCTGCCCAAACTAATAGGAGCAACGAAGACGGTGAAGGAGACATGAGGAGGCAGGTTGAGGAGCTGACGAAGCGGCTCGACGACCAGCGGCGGCATCAGGGTCTCCACCAGCACCACCTCGGCTTCCTCCACTACGAGCGTGCACAGCAGGAACAGCAGCAGCGACGACAGGCCGAGCAATGCGAGGAGATGAATGTGATGACCGACAGCGCGCCAGCGCGCTGCTCTCCCGACACCGCCCGCTCCGGTTGTGGATGCCATGACAATGGACACTCTAACAGCCCTATCATTGAATTTACCCTCTGTGTTTACTGTTTGAGGCTGTCTTGAGACATGTTTCATACGTGTTTTTACATGTTGGAACCATGTTTCAAAGCAGTTCTTAGACATCTGGACAATATCTGGGAACATACCTCCTCTCCATTGGTCCTCTACCACAACGCTCTGGCACCCCGAAGACGACGGACGATCCGCCGACGTTTGGCCAGCACCGGCGGCGTGAACATTACAGCCGACCCGTATATGAGGATGCGCAGTGGGGATATAAAGGGCCTTAGGATGGCCATGCCGACACTCTGCGGGCGGGGTGTGGCCAGCGACAGCGGCCAAGGATGGGCCCAAGGGGGAGGACGCAAGGGTAACCCTGGAAAGCCGCTCCTCCTTACCGTGCGGGTTGGCTGTCACTTGCGGAGGTCCGCGCGGGTGCCCTCGGCCGGCGCTGGGCCCCCCCCCCTGGTGGCGCCGCCCCCCCTCGGGGTCCGCGAGTCAGCTCGCACAGCCAACCCCGTTTGGCGCCTCCCGGCGCCCGGGGCGCCGCCCGAAGATCGAGGAGCGGGCCCGGCGACGGTGCCGAGACGAGGGCCCAGCTCCCGCTCCCCTTCCTCCGACCCTGCCTCTGGCGCCCACATCGCCGGCAAATCCGAGAGCTGGCCGAAGCGACGGCGCACCGGAAACCGACCGGGGCCGACAGGCCGCACGCGGTCCAGAAGGGTTCAGCGGCGCGGCGGCGACACGAGACTCGACTGCAGCGAGCCGACCGAACGCAACCGACTGCGACTCAACCGAGCCCACAGAACTGTGGCCACCCCGGTCTCCTCCCCGCTTGGTGCCGCTGCCTCCGCAGCGCGGGACACACGCTGCGAGCATTCCGCGGTAGCTTCCCTCTCTGACACCCAGGTGCCAGCAACCTCCGCTGAGATCCGACACTGCAAGCAAACGGCAACACCGCGAGGCATCACGACCGGAACCCCAGACCCCAAATTGCTGCGTCATCTCGCAAGCCCGATCGATCTGGGATGGTCCTGGGGCCCGCGACCGGGCGAAGCCGCTCGGCGTGAACAAAAAATCGCAGCGCCCGGATCTGAGGGCCGGTGCGCGGGCAGCCTAACGCCTCGCCTCTCTCGAGGGTCTCCCGCGCGGGCACGATAGAGTCCGCTTTTCCCCCTATCAGCGCCTGCAGAAACGAATTCGTGAGCCGAGCGGGGAGCTAAGACATTGCCTGGAATAGTTTGTCCAGCATATATATATATATATGTTTCTATGTGTATATGTGTATATATACATATGTATAATGTATATATACACATGCAAATATACATACGTAAAGAGGTGTATATGTGAGCATGTCCATCGATCTACAAACAAGTATAGACATGCCTATACATATACAGACATCGCCAATCACATGAAAGGTCGAGCAAACCCAGGAGCTCGCAGCGGAAGGGGATCGACAGGATGCCGAACACGCAGCGGGAACGAGGGGGGCGGAAGCCTGGAGGCAGAGCTCTCGCGCGGCTGTCCTCGTGGCGTGCCCCAGACCGCCGACGGAGGCGCCGGCCCTGGACAGGCCGGCGTCCTGGACGCTGGCCCACTGGACCTCGGGCGGGGGGAGCCCGCCGTCCGGGGCCTCGCCCCAGGCATCTGTGGCAGGCCTCCTCGCCTCCTCACTCCTCTTCCTTCTCCTCCCTCCACCTCCTCCTCCTCCTCCTCCACCTCCTCCTCCTCCACCTCCGCCTCCTCCTCCTTCGTGGCTGCGCCAACAACACGCGGCAGGTCGGGAAGATACACCCCCAAGGGAGGTACGATCGAAGATGAAGAGGGCGGGTATCGAGGGTTTGGACTACTCGTCTTGAATGGCACGCGAGGCGATAAGAGCGAACAGTCTTAAAGGGATTGCATTCTTTTTTGATCCACCCCGGTGCCCATGGTGTTTTTCAATGAACGTGCTCCGCCTGGGGCTTGCATTCTGTTTTCGAACTGAGGAAAATCTTGCGGCTCAGATTGGGTTGTTGGCCCCCGAGCTACAACAACAACGACCCCCACTTGATACTTCCTCAACATATATTTCCAAACCGGCGCTCTCGCGCGGGACTTCCTCATCATATATACAGGAATCGCGCTCTTGTGTGGTACTTCCTCACAATCTGCTGCGTCGCCGTGCCCTCAACACTCAGGAATCACTCTCTCGCTTTGGAATTTCTCACGATTTACTTGGGAATCGCGCTGTCGCTCCAAACTTCCCTGGGACTCGGGTCGGATTGGACTCGCCTGTCGGTCATCCCGCGACGCAGCGCTGGGCAGATGGCGGCGTGGCACGCCACATGCTGACACTCATCGGCAACCAGGGGGACACCGGCAGGCGCGCGGGAATAAGGACTCGATGTCGGCGGCGATCCGAAGGGCGAATTCGGCGTGCCCCCCCAGGAGAAGCAACGCCCATATGGTGGGAACCGACCGAAAATCCCGCCATCGCCCACACGAGCCGAGACAATCCTTCTCTCCTCCTCATCCTCCTCCTTTTCCTCCTCCTCCTCCGCCTCCTCCGCCCCCTCCCTTCCTCCTCCTCCTCCTCCTCCTCTTCCTCCTCCTCCTCCTCCTCCTCCTCCTCCTCCTCCTCCTCCATTGCTCATCCTCCGCTTCCTCCTCCATCCTCCTTGCTCCTCCGTCCCCTTGCTCCTCCTCCCTCCTTGCTCTGGCCCCACGGCGCCGAGGGGGCACCGCAGGGCCTCCCCGGGCGATGCCGCCCTCGGGGGCCTGTCACCGCTCGCGGTGCTCTGGCGGCGCGCGCCGGGGGAGCGAACGCGAGGGGGGTTGCCTTCTCAAATTGGCGGCGCGCAGAGGGGGGTACGGCAAGCTAGGTGCGCTCGCGGCATATCTGACGTCCTGCGCCTCCCATTCCTTACAATGGCGTAGATACCCTCTCTATTCGCAGTCTGATGTCGAGCAGGGCAACGATCGCGAGAAGGTACGCGATGCATGGTAGAGCACGGCATGGCATGGCGTAGAAGAGCACGGCAGAGCGTAGCATGCCATAGCATGGCGTGGGTAGGGGGAGGGGGGAAAGCTTCTTAGAAGGAGGCTGCTTCTTAGAAGGCGCGGGCCTGACATTTGCAGAAAGGCCCGCGCCTTCTGAGGAGCACAGGTACTTCTAAGAAGCCTTCCCCCCTCACCCTACCCTCCCTCTGCGCGTGGCTGATCAAAGGCGGTGGACGGGGGAGGGGCTCCAGAGAACGCCGGAGAAGCCTTCTTGGAAGCCTCCATGCCCTTCCGAGAAGGCCCCGCCTTCTGAGAAGCCGCCCCCCCGCCTTCTCAGAAGGTCGCCCCCTTGGCACCACCCCCGCCGCCAATTGTTATCTCTCACTCGAGACCGTCCACGGCGACAAAAAAATCGATAACCCACCGAAGCGACAGCGAAACCGAACCCGACAGAAAGCGAAAGGCCGCAGGCAGCCTGCCGCCGCCGCCGCTGAGGGCGCAGGCGGTGCTGCGGATGGGCGCAAGGCGCCTCGCGGCGGCTCGTGCTGGCACACTTTCCTCTGCATTGCTGGGCTCACCCTGATACGCAACGCGCAGCCCGCAACACGTAGCGTGTTGACACGGAGCTCAACACGTAGATTGACAGCGCTGGTCTGGCGGGACGCGTTATTGCGAAGACATGCGCTAACACGTGCGTGAGACGTGTTGAACACGGTACGTATTCAGATTCAACGCGCGCGTATCAGAGTAGCTAAGTTACTCGGCGCAGCTCCTTCCTCGGCTGCGTCGGCAACGCCCTTCGCTCGCCGACGGGACGAGGGAGGGCTGGTGGCCTAGTGGCCCCCTCCTGGTCGCACCGCCAGGCGTGCCGGTGTGGCGGTGTGGGCGGTTCGCCTGAGGCATCCCCGCGCACGACGGCCCTGGATGAAGTGTGGACTGCCCCCGTCTCCCGCGGGTGATGGAGGGCAACTCGCTCTCACAATCTTGCTCTGGCCTGGGACTCTCTCATGGCTTGCTGCGTTCTGGGGCCTCACGTCTTCAACAGTCGCGTGGGTTGAGAGCCACTGGTGCTCACCATCCGGCTATCGCTCGAGACTTCCTCATGTGTGTCAAGACTCGGGGATCCGCCGACCCGGGTCAATGCAGACCGGGGTCAGCCGGGCCTTGCAGGATCCTGCAACATCCTGCAAGATCCTGCACCCAAACCCGGGTCAATGCGAGGGATCCTGCAGGATCCTGCACCCAAACCCGGGTCAATGCGAACCTGGCCGTGCAGGATCCTGCAGGATCGGACGCTCTGGCTGACCCCCGTTTGCATGGACCCCCGTCTCAAGGCTCCCGAAAGACTTTCAACACATAAGCCGGCGGAGGACGGCTCATTGATTAGAACCTGGCTCTCGCCTGAGGCGTGCGTACGGACGGCGAGCATCTCGTTTCCAAACTTTGGCTCTCGCGTGAGACCTCTTCATGCTTTAGGAGCTTGAACTTCTCCATGGCTGCACAGACGGAGGGCGGCTCTCCGAAAAAGAAGACGGCGCCGCGCAAATCTGCCAGTCCCCTGGTGGGGCCGCCACGCTATCAGGTCTGCCGCTGGAATGCTGTGTTGTAATCGTTGTGTTGCCTTTTGCCTGTTGCCCCTCCTGTCCTGTCTCCAGGGGGGCCAAAGTCCTGGCCGTTCTAGGCTGCCCCAGGCTTCCCATAGGACACCAACGCGCGGCCAGGAATGACCAAGAGGCCGCGAATAAGGCTCCATGAGAATCAGAAGAGGGCCGCCTCAAGAGCCCAATGCGGCCGACCGAAGATTGCTACAATATGCTTCAAACATGCCTCCCAAGACGCCCTCGAGAGGGCGTACAACATTGAATTAACCTGGCGCGATCCCAAGCAAGGGAAAGTTTCGAAGGACGCAAGTCTGCTTGGCATTGATTTGCATTGCTTGGCATTGCTTGGCCTTGCTTTGCATTGCATTGCATTCCTTGGTTGCATTGCTTAGCATCGCTTTACATTGCTTGGCGTCGCTTTGCGTTGCTTGGCATTTCTTGGCTTTGCACGGGCAACCCGGGTCAATCCAGGGCAATCCCAGGCAACCCCGAACAACGCCCGGGGCAGCCGAGGCAACCCCAGGCAATCCCGAGCAAAGCCTCTCACGAACCGCCCCGCACCCACCAGTTTCTTTCACAAACACTTACGGACCCCACATTGTCTCGATGTTTTTTGTTCATTTAAGCATGCACGCACGGAGATGACGTCCGTCGAAGCAAACAGAACTGGTTGGCCTGCCGGCCTAATTTTCCTTGCGGCAGGCCACTGATTTGTGAGCTGTGCGAAACATTGGCAAAGGGAAGACCTAAACCGAGCCATTTCAGGAAGATTATTCAGCGGCCACCGTACTGCATGTAGCCTGCACCGCCCCCGTCGCCATAGCCTTCTCGGCTACCCCCTCCGCCATATGATCCATTGCTACCACCTCCTGTTGCCGCCACCGCCACCGCGGCCGCGGCTGCGACTGCGGCTTCGGCCACGGCCGCCACCTCCGTAGCCGCCGCCGCCGCCTGACTTCCGCTCGCCACACTTGAAGCAAGCGTCCTTCGAGGCGAACACGTTGGCGCCGCAGCCCGGGCACGTCCAGTCACCAGGGCGGCCGCCGTCGCCCCCGCCGCCGCCGCCGTAACCGCCGCCGCCGCCACCCTTGCCGCCGCCGCCGCCGCTGCTGTAGCGGCCGCCCTTGCTGCCGCCGCCGCCCCTGGATGCCATGTCCTTGACGAACGAGCAGCACACACCCATACCCATAGGGGGGTCGTTGGGAGGAGGACTGGCTATGGGTATGGGTGCGGGTTGTCGGACCCTGGGGAACGCTCCCGTTCGAGCGGGGACCCCCATCCGACAACACGCACCCATAGCCCTCTCCGACCCCTCTATGGGTATGGGTGTGCGTTATTGGCTCGTCATGTCCTCCAGATCCGCTGGCACCTCCTTGCCCGACTTCTTCATCACCGCCACGATGTCCGCTGCCTTCTTGCCCTCGTTCGGCAACAGCAGGGTGACCGAGGTGCCCGTCATGCCTGCGCGTGCCGTGCGGCCGATGCGGTGCACGTAGTCCTCCGCGTTGTTCGCGGGGTCGAAGTTGACGACCAAGCGGATAGTCTTCACGTCAAGGCCGCGCCCTGCCACGTCGGTGGCGACGAGGACTTTGCTCTCGCCGGCCTTGAAGGACCCGAGAGCCCGGTCGCGGCTCTGCTGGTCGCGGTCCCCATGGATGGACTCGACCCTCGCACCGGCACGGCGGATCGAGTTCGCAAGCTGCTCACACATTCGCTTGGTGGCGACGAAGACAATGACCTGATCTGGGCATCCGCGCACCAAGCGAATGAGACTGTCTTCTTTCTCCCGGGCATCCCGGCAGATCTGCACCTTCTGGTCGATGGCGGTGTTCGCCTGCAAGGCGTCGGCGTCGCCCACCCGAATCTCTACAGGGTCACGCATGAAGTCCGCGGCCAAGTTCCTGACCTCCTTTGGCCAAGTTGCGGTGAACATGTAAGTCTGGCGCTGCCGAGGACAACAGGCAAGGATCTTGCGGACTTGCGGCTCAAAGCCCATGTCCAACATCCTGTCCGCCTTGCGGGCGTGATTTGCTTGTATACATACAACTACAATTTATATATGTATTAGCTTAATCAGCGTGGATTCCAAACAGTGTGTTGCATCATACTATGTGGTGACATCTATGTAGTGCAGTCAATCACTTGCTCACCTTGAAGCTGTCCTCTCCACTGCTCGTGCAAACATCCCACCCTCCCACCCGCAACTTGGTCGCAAAACCTCTTAAGACAAGACCGTGACGGTGGGTACCAGATGGCACTTGGCCACGACACCGACGCCGATGACGACAGCGACGACGACGACGACGGCGCCGCCGACACCGACGACGACGACACCGACGACGTCTCCAACGACTTCGACGACGACAGCGACCACGACGACGACGACACCGACGACGACGACGCCGACGACGACGACGATGACAACTACGACGACGCCGACGACGACGACGCCGACGACGACGACGAAGACAACGACGACGACGATAACGAAACGTCGTCGCCAACGAAGACGACGACGACGCAGGAGGGAGGACGACGACGGCGACAACGACGACAACGACGACAACGACGAGGGAGGAGGGAGGACGGCGGCGACGCGAACGACGAAGAAGGAGGAAGGACGGCGACGCCGACGACGACAACGACGAGGGAGGAAGGAAGACGACGACGACGACAACGACGACGACGACGACGACGGCGACGAAATAGGAGGGACGACGACGAGACGCCGACAACGGACGACGATGACGACGAGGGAGGAGGAGGAAGGACGACCACGGCGACAACGACGACGGAAACGACCACGACGCCAACGAGGACGACGACGACGACGAACACGAGGAAAGACAGAGGACGACGTAGGCGACGACGACGACGACGCGGGAGGAGGGATGACGGCGACGACGACGACGATGATGCAAGAGCGCGCGCGCACGCTTTTGTTGAAAATCCGTGTTGCGAAACCTTGGGTTTTTGTAGGTTTTTTTGGACGCACGATTTTGAAATCCTGCCGAAACCGATGAGTTTTGAAGGATTTCGGCATACGCGCGCGACGACGCGCGCGTCTGCACTTTGTCCAATTTTTTGCAAGGATTCTGGCGACGGCACAGGCGCAAGGGCGTTCGACAGATTTCGACATGCGCGCGCGCGAAGCCTGTTTAATAGCATGTTGTGAACATCTTGACAAACCTATGGTTTTCTTAAGATTTCGCAAGAGCTCGCGCGGAAGCTTTTTTAGCAAATCAGTGTTGCAAAACCATGTGTTTTTGTATGTTTTTTGGAAACTCGATTGTGAACTCCTTCCGGCACCGAAGGTTTTTGAAGGATTTCGACATGCGCGCGCGACGACGCGCGCGTGTGCACTTCGTCCCATTTTTTGCAAGGGATTCGTGAAAAAGTGTTATGTTAGAACAAAACATGTCACCGCAAGGACAAAGGAACCTCAGGGGGGGATACCGGCCTCCCGGGGATAGTGTAAGTTCATATTTAGGATGGACATGTGGTCAGAATCATATATGGTTTACATACCCGAAAGGTGAGCCGATAATGCCGGGGGGGGGGGGTAGATCCTATTCTGTTTTTAGAAAGGAGAGTCCACATGGTGTAAGCTATATGGTGCCATCTACGTCAAGCAATCTATGCGGTGTTGGTGTGAGCTACGTGGCACAGTCAATGTGGTGTAAGCTGGGTCGTGCAATCTGTGGAGTGCACTATACGTGGTGCAATTCTTGCAATCTATGTGCGGTGCAACCTATGTGGTGCAACAACCACTTGCTCAACTTGAAGCTGTCCGCTCCACTGCTCGTGCAGACATCCCACCCTCCCAACCGCAACTTGGTCGCAAGCCTTCTTACGACCGTGACGGTAGATATCAAATTGCACTTGGCAGCGACACCGACGCCGACGACGACAGCGGCAGCGACGGCGACGACGCCGCCGACACCGACCACGACGACACCGACGACGTCTCCAACGACTTCGACGACGTCGCCAACGAAGACGACGACGACGACGAGGGAGGAGGAAGGACGACCACGGCGACAACGACGACGGAAACGACGACGACGACGCCAAAGAGGACGACGACGACGACGAGGAACGACAGAGGACGACGACGGCGACGACGATGACGACGACGAAGGAGGACTGAGGACGGCGACGACGACGACGAAGGCGCAAGAGCGCGCGCGCATGCTTTGGTTGAAAAACCGTGTTGCGAAACCCTTTGTTTCTGTGATTTCGGCATTCGCGCGCGACGACGCGCGCGCGTGCACTTCGTCATTTTTTTGCAAAGGATTCGCGCGACTGCGCGCGCGCAAGGGCGTTCGAAAGATTTCGACATGCGCGCGCGCGAAGCCCGTTTGGTAGTATTTTTTGTTTGGACCTATGGTTTCCTTAAGAGTTCGCAAGAGCGCGCGCGTAAGCTTTATTAGAAAATCAGCGTTGCGACACTTTGTGTTTTTGTATGTTTTTTTGTAAGCACGATTTTGAAATCCTTCGGGAACCGAAGGTTTTTGAAAGATTTCGGCATGCGCGTTCGACGACGCGCGCGTGTGCACTTCGTCCCGTTTTTTGCAAGGGGTTCTTGAAAACATATGGTTTTTGATAAACGAGAGTGCGCGTATAGTACTTTTACAAGGAATGGCGGGGGGAACCGATACCGGTTTGGCTGGGATAATATGAACTCAGAAGTAGGATGGACACCAGGTCAGAATCCTATGTGTTTTACTTGGGTTCCCGAGGGGCCGGGGGGGGGGAGGGTAGTAGCACCGATTCTTACTTTTAGAAAGGAGAGTCCATGTCCAACAATCTGCGTGGTGCAATCTTTGCAGCGCAACCTATGTGGTGCAATTCATCCTGCCGGGTTGGATTTTTCCATGTCCATTGCTCGCGCAATCATCCCACCCACCCACCCCCAACTCGGTTTGCAAAACCCATGCGGCGGCGATTGCGATGACTGCTTGGCGCTTCCTGATGCATCGCGGTGGCTGGGCTAGCGCGTGCAGGCTCGCGCGCAGAGCGGCTCGCCAGTCTGGCGCGATCGCCACGGCCGCGGTGGCGCTGACCGCTGGGGGCGTCCCAGTGCGTCTCGCAGGCCGTGCTGACGCGCGGGCACTTCAATGCGAGTCGGTGGCTCGGGCGGGTGTGGTATCATGGCGCCGTCGACAATGGAAAACACGATGATGATAGTAACGATGGTGGTGACGATGGCGACGATGAGGACGGCAAGGCCAATGACGGCGCCGATGCTGGTCACGCCTACGGCGATGATGGTGTCCACGTGTCGGTGATGAAGGTTTTGGAAGGCTTTCGGCATGCACGCTCGACCGACGAGCGTGCGTGGCCCGCATGGTATTGTTGGACAGGGGTCGTGCAACCCCAGCGCGCGCGCAAGGGCGTTCGAATGATTTCGACATGCGCGCGCGAGAGGCCCACTTGGTCGCATGTGTTGCACATGCTGAGCAAATCGCAAGAGCGCGCGCAGACTTCTCTGAAACATCATGTAGCAACACTTTCGTTGTAATGCCTTCGGGAATCTCGACTCTGAATTCTTTGCGGAACCTACGGTTTTGGAATGATTTCGGCATGCGCGCGCGCGACGCCGCGCGCGCGTGGACCTCGTCATTTTTTGGAGCAGGTTCTTCAACATGGAGGATGTTTGATACCTGAGTGTGCGCTCGCAATATTGGTTGACGAGGATGAGGGGAGGGGTCGATACCGACCTGGCTGGGCTTTTCTGCTTTCATATTCTACATGAACGGTGGGGCAAGACCATACGTAATTTGCAGTGCTCCAGGGGGAACCGATAAGACTAGTGAGGGGGTAGTGGTGGTGGTAGATCCGAGTGTGATTTTAGAAAGAAGGGTCTGTGTGGAAAGCAATGCAGTGCAGAACAGCGCAAAGGAATGACACACACAGCAAAGCAAATTTTACACAGTACAACGCAGTGCAGAGCAAGGCGATGCGACGTAACGCAATGCAAAGCAACGCCAAACAATGCAAACCGATGCAGAGCACTGCAAAACACGGCACAGCAATGCGAAGCAGTGCAAGCCAATGTGAAGGAGCGCATTGCAATACGATTGAACATCAGTGCGATTGCAATGCATTGGCGCAACGCAAAGCACAGCAACGCAACGCAGCGCAAACCAATGCATAGCAGCGCAATGCAAATCAATGCCACGCAATCCCAAGCAATTCAATGCGGGCGGCGACGAGGCGGCGGGCGGCGGCGAGGGGGCCATGTGGCAGCCAGAGCGGCCCGCAGGCCCAAACGACGGGCAGCGACGAGGCGACAACGGCGGCCCCGTGGCAGCCAGAGCGGCCAGCAGGCCCAGTTCCTCAGAGAAGAAATACGAACCCCTAAATGCAAACATTCCTTGGGGCATATATCTAGATATGTATGTACCTATATATATATGTATATATATATATATGTATACATGTATACAGTGCGGGCGCGGCCGCAAGGAACCCTCGCAAGAAACCCAGCCCTGAGAGCCTGAGCGCGAGGTGAACCTGAGGGGAAACCTGGAGCACCCTGAACGCAACAGCTCCTTCAACGGCTGGGGGAAGTCACCGCGTAGTGCGAGGAGCGAAGAAACCCAGGATACCCTGACGAAACGTACATGGTTTCTTGATGCGCGCCCCCCCCCCCCACTGTATGTGTATGTCTATGTATGTACACATGTGTACGTGTATATATATATATATATATAAATACACATTCCCCAAGCAGTGCTTTCACTCAAGGGTTTGTACTTCTCTTTGAAGGAACTGGGCCTGACGGCCGTTCTAGCGGCTTCGTGCTCGCCGTCGCCGCCCCGTCGACGCCTCGTCGCCGCGTCGTCTGGGCCTGACGTACGGTCTGGTCTGGCGGCTCCGTGCGCGCCGTCGCCGCCCCGTTGCCGCCCGTCGTCTGGGCCCGGGTGGCGGTCTGGCGGCTCCGTGCTCGCAGTTGCCGCCCCGTCGTCGCCGTCGCCGCCACGTCGCCACCTCGTATAGACTGCACCGCATAGATCGCACCGCACGATTGCACCACATTGGTTGCACCACATTGATCGCACCGCATAGATTCCGCCGCATAGTTTGCACTACAAAGATTGCACCCCGTCGATCGCACCACATAGATTGCACCACGTAGCTTGCACCTCATAGACTGCACCACATAAGCAGGTCCACATATACAGCCCAACATATAGTGCACAACATAAAGCGCACGACGTATATTGCACAACGTTGGTGGCACAAGATAGATCACACCACATACGTTGCACCATATCTGTGTATATCTGTCTATATATGTATATGTATTACACCGCATATATTGTGACACATCGATTGCGCAACGTATCATGCAACATCTCGATGGAACAACATAGATCGCTAGAAACACACATACACACTTTGGGGTCCAAGCTGGTTAACGCTTTCCGCATACGGCGATACACATATATTACAGCTATTTATGTCCATCTCACCAGCGTCTTTACTTCCCGAGACGGCACAACCCGAGACGCGGTGGATATGATAAACCTTGCCTCTCTAGAGGCCAAATTTGTGTCCCAAGGAAGAGAACTCGAACACTCAAGACGCAGTGGCTATGGATTTAGATTTTGCCCGCACGCCTCGTCCATGCACACGTAGCCGCACCTGTCCAATGAGACAGTCCTCGACTCGAGGAAATCGTTCAAGCGGCCTGGAGTTGCTGTCAGAAGCTGCGCTCCACGCCGGATGTCCGCAAGTTGGTCGCGCTTTGGTGCTCCGCCATACGCCAGTGCCGTCTGCACTCCAGCATGGCCGAGGAACTTCTTCGCATCCTGGTCGATCTGGACAGCCAACTCGCGTGTGGGTGCCATCACAAGCATGAGTATTCCCCCGGACATTCGTTCACGCAGGATTCTGGCAAAGGCGGGGAGCAAGAAACCAAGCGTCTTACCCGATCCCGTTTTTGCGACACCGATCATGTCGCGGCCCTCGCAACCGATGGCCCAAGAATATGACTGGATTGCTGTAGGCGTTGCAAAACCAGCCTTCAGCATTGGCTGGAGCAGGGCCGGATCGATCTTCACATCCTCGAACCTCACCCACGGCGCAGGGATGTAGCCGTTCCCGGTGGCTGTGATCTCGTTCTTAGAGGTTGGGGGAGCTGCATGCATCATCATTTGCATGGCCGCGCTCTGTTGCTGGTGCGACTGGCCCAGGCCAGACGACAAGCCTGCGTGCTGTGCAGCAGTTGTCATGATGCTGGCGCTCTCGGCATCCTTTGTAGCTTGGTCATAATTGGTGGTCGCCGTCGCAATTGTCGCCTCTGCTGAGATCATAGGCGCAATCCATGAGGTCTCCTTCGTGGTCGTGTTGTGGAAGTACGGCATGCCATTCTCCGCCATGGCCATCCACCACTCCGTGGATATCTGCACGGGCGCGGCCATGGCTATGCACGACGATCAACCCTTGGGCAGCACTCCACTTCTAGCTTCGAAGTGCGCCAATATGGCTTGAATCAAAACTTCTGCGGAGTGTTTCCAGTGCTTCTAATGTATCTCAAATCTTGCTCCTGGTAGGTCCAACTATCAAATGTTGTTTCAAAACGTTCCCCTCAAGCTCCGAGATCAATGATGACTCACAAAAAAGCCCACCATGCCGCCCACTTTGCCCAGGATGGCCCGACAAGGCTCCAATATTACCCCAAGATGCCCTCAAGGAGGCCAGAGGCCTTGAGATGGCTCCAAGATCGCCCAATATGGCCCGAAGCCCCCGGGATGCCCGATGATGCTCCCCAAACTGTTGGGCCCTTCAATCCGCTCTGGCGATCTCGCCTCGCCGCCAGCTGCCTTTCCTCTGAAAGCGAAGCTCACGCTCGAGCGTTTCGGCCAACGCCGACCAGTCCGCTACAACAATAACGCTCTGCTCGATACGTCTTCGCTGGTCACTCGGGACCACTGCCCATAGTCGCCGCCGCCAACTAGCCCTCCAACAAAACCCGCGCTCCCGCTCGATAGCTCCTCGTTTTTTACTCAGGAGTTGCGCTACCGCCTCATCGTCGTCGTCGTCGTGTTAATTGCTATGCAATTCTTCTTGTTGGGCCCCTTGCACCCGCCCCGACTGTCTCGCCTCGGCGCCGGCTGCATATCCTTTCAAAGCCATGCGGGCATCGAAGTCAGGCGCACCTCCATTGGCTCGGAAAGTCTCCGCTGTGCACTTTCTCAAGAGGTGACTGGCCCTGGGCCCCCCCCCCCCCGCAGGAGCCTGGATGCCTCTCCCACACGCCCTGCAGCTGCCCCTGACGCCCCCCCTCGGGGGCGCGCAAACACGCGTTGGCGATCCATAGATTTGGTGCGCGGTCGCCATCCACGGATCGGGGGAGGCGCCCTCCCCACAATGCGGCCGGTGCCGCCTGGCTCGGCGGCGGAAATCCGCGATTTCCCATGGAAGCGGGACCCGTCGCTAATCCACACGCCCCCGTAATCCATGTTTGCGATCGCCTGAAAAACGTGGGTGGCCCTGGGCCCCCCCCCACCTCCCCCCGCAGGAGCCTGGGTGCCTCTCCCGCGCGCCCTGCGCCTGCCCGTGACGCCCCCCCTGGGGCGTGCGGGTCACATCGCAACCGGAGCGGCCAGTTTACAACCAGATGGGGCACTCTACGACCAGCATGGGTCTTCCCAAAAGGGCACTTTACAACCAGGAAAGCCACTTTACAACCAGGCGAGTAAACGCACATGAGCGACACGTGTTCTTCAATTTCCGAAATCTCCGTGGGCCCACGTAAGGGAGACACTTCGCTCTCTGAAGCGTGTTGGTTGTAAAGTGACCCGTCTGCAGCGAGAATCTGTGAAGTGGCCGGTTCCGAATGGGATCCAAGAGCGATCCTATTAGGATCTTGTTGGTACCCTTCTGCCGGGCGATGGCCATAACGTTGCGCCTACACGTATTCCGCGGGGGCTCTTAAGAGCTGCTGCGGGATACGTTGGGTGCAATGGGCGCATGGCACGGCCAACGGGGGTGATTTGTTATTACGTAGCGGTTAGATCTTGATCGGGGGCCTGCGAGCCTTCCGATTGCTGCTCGCAAAATCACATGCGTCCATGTTGCGTCATTGCCCCCGTTGCAGCAATCCTGATGTACTTATGCCCCGCATTGCGCAAGGGTTGGGTACGTCGCCAGGGTAATTAGGAAATCGCGCTATCGCTCGAGACTTTCTCGCGATTCATGCAGGACGCACGCCTCAGCAACCCGCCTGCTTGACCTGGCCGCCTTGGCCTGCCTTCCCGACCTGCCTGTTAGGGTCTACCCGCCCGATCTGCGCGTCTGGTTCTACCACGTGCTTTCTGCTCCTAGCCCGTCTCCTGCTACGCTCTCTCGTACTCCATCCTCCTCCCTGCTTCTTGTCCCTTCCTTCCATACGTCCTCTCTTCCCCTGCCTTAGGGGCAGCACGACATACGCGTTGCAGGTAATCTATCTCTATATATACACTCCCCAAAAGGTTCGATCGAAGACGAAGAGGACCGATATCGAGAGTTTGGGATATACGTGTTAAATGGCCCGCAAGCGCATCACATGCGAACAGTATTAATTGTTGTTGTTGTTGTTGTTGCTGCTGCTGTTGTTGATATTGTTGTTGTTGTTTTGTTATGTGTTGTTCTGGCTGTTGTTGCTGTTGCTGTTGCTGTTATTGTTGTTGTTATCGCCGCTGCTGCTATTGTTGTTAATGTTGTTGTTGTTGCTGCTGCTGTTGTTGGTGGTTGCGGCACTTTCGGCCTCTGGGGCCGTCTCTGGGCCCCAGGGTATTCAATTACACCCTGGCGGCAGAGGACCCCCAACAGCACAACGAACGATTGACGAGGACATTCTACTGTGCTGCACATGTGCGAGGCGGGAATTGGTTCATAATTCATATCCACCGCCTCGGAACCGACGTCCTGGTGCCCCAGCGGGCGGTGGATATGGATTTATCTTGGCCCCGTTCGGGGGGGCGGGGGGGGGGGGCCGTCCGGGGCGGAGTCCGGCCGGGGAGGCACGGGGAGCGCGAGAAGCGCCCCGCAGCTGCAAGCTCGAGCTCGGAGCCTCGGAGTTGGAGGAGCCGACGACGACGACGACGACGACGACGACGACGACGACGACGACGACGACGACGACGATCGGACGACACACCCTGCGCTGAGGGGCAACGTAAGGGGGCCGGTTCAGCAGTCGAACCCGACCTCGAGCCTCAATACTAGTCCAGATTTGTCGACCTGGGAACGCTCTCGGCGAGGCGCAGTCGCTGTAAGGCACCCCGAGGCCGGAAAGGCGACGATAAACGCCCGCGCCCCCCACGCCCAGACCCTGGGCTGGTCCTGGGGCTCTGAGCCGGCCTCCAGACATGGGCAGCTGCGAGGAACCAACGGCCAAATTTTTTCAGTTCGGCCAAGGTTTTATGGCAACTATCTTCGCGCTTCGTGCTCCGCGAAGCGCGAAACGCGATTATCTTCGCGCTTTCGCGCCGCCCCCCCGCCCCCCCCTAGAACAGGATGAAGGACTCGCGCCTGGCTCTGAAATCGCCCAGACCGAGAAGCGCGACTAACTTCGCACCCTCATGGTGGTCCAAGGAGGTCTGGGATGGCGTCAGATCCGCTCGGGCAATGTCAATGGGGGTCGCCACCAGGGGGGTGTCGCCGCCTGCTCGAAGAGGAGGGGGGCCCCTCAAGACCCCCCCAGCCCCACCCCCCCTTCCCAGGACCCAGGGATTTACATAAGCGTTTATAATTGTTCCAGAACCATCTGTTCTGAACACTTTATATATATATATATATATGTGTTCAATCACATGAATAATCCAAATGGTTTTCAATAGAAAGATGTCGGGAGGTTTGAACTCCGGCGGGTGTGCACGTTCCCATCCTTTTCATCAGCACAATACTTGTAATCGTTGCCAGCGTCATCATTGCCATCAACTCATCATTATCATCCTCCTCCTCCTCCGCCTTCTCCTCGTCATCATCAGCATCACCACCACCATCATCACCACCACCACCATCACCATCACCATCACCGTCATCATCATCATCATCATCATCGTCATCATCATCCTCCTCCTCCTCCTCCTCCTCCTCATCATCATCATCATCATCATCATCATCATCATCATCATCATCATCATCATCGCCAACGCCATCAGCATAACCGTCACACTCCCCACCACCAATATCATCATCAGCATCATCATCACCATCACCATTACCATCCATCGTCATCATCATCACCATTACCACCATCATCATCATCATCATCATCATCATCATCATCATCATCATCATCATCATCATTATCACCATCATCGGGATCATTCCCTCCGCCGTCATCGCCGTCATACACGATGTCGTCGCCTTCGTAGACTTCATGTGCGCAGGCATTTCGTCGTTCTCATTATCGCCAACACCACCATCATTAGCATCATCATCATCATCATCATCATCATCATCATCATCAGCATCAGCATCAGCATCAGCATCATCATTGCCACCATCATCATCAGTGTCATCGCTGCCTCGTCGTTATCATCACCATCTGTGTCGTCATTCTCACCATCGTCGTCGTCTTCGTCTACATCGCGCTCACCGTCGTCATCAATATCACCAGCGTAATCGTCGTCGTCGGTGTCGCATACTAGTTGGGCGTTGCCAGAAAGTTGTGGGCGGGCGGGTGGGTGGGAGGGATGTTTGCGCGAGCAGTGACGTTGACGACCTCAATCCGCCACCGAGCCGCGAGGCACGAGCTGGAGTGCCCTGAGGTTCCTCGTAGTCCTCAGTCCTCCATCCTCAAGATTGAATACTCCAGATTTCGTAATAAAAGGGAGGGGGTCTGGACCCTCCAAGACAAGCCATTTCAGACCCCCCCCCCGTGGGAGAACCCTCCAAAACATCGTCCCCAGATCCCCCCAGGCCCTCCAAGATAGCTTGGAAGAGACCCCCCCCGAAATGAGACCCCCCTCCCTTTATTACGAAATCTGGAGTATTCGAGGGCCTGGACCCCGAATTCGCAACTCCTCTGGGGCTCCAGGCGCGCCTCCCGCGTTTCTCCGGCGCGCCTCCCGCACGACTTTCTGTCGGAGCCGCGAGCGCCCCCAAAACGGGCCGAGAGGGCCCCGAGAGGCCCCTGACCTACAACCCGGGCGCAGTGGCGGGGGGGGCCGAATGCCTGTAGACATCGACAAGCATGAGTCCTCCTCCTCCTCCTCCTCTCCTCCTCCTTTGACGCTGCTTAGCCCGTCGGCCGCATCATCTCTCGTTTCACCTGTGTTCAGTTTCGGGGCGCAGCGCTTGCCAAATCTTTCGGTCCGATGCTGGGGCGCTGAGGACAAACAAAAAAAACAAGCATGCGTTATCAACCAAGATCCTCCTTGATCCTCGAATCTCTCGATCCGCGGCCTGTGGCGGCGCCCGGTAGAGTCAAGCTGCTGCAGTGGCGACCGCGCACTCATAGAGGTCCCTCGGATAGGGTGGGAGTGGATGGAGTCGGCGGATCGCGCCGCATCGCCAATTCGTCGCCGATGCATCGGCGATGCATCGGTGATACATCGGCGATGCGTCGGCCGCGTCGGCGTGAAGAACATCGGGCTCCATATCGAGCCGCATCGCCGATACATCGGCGATGCTGCGCGATCCTCCGACCCCATCTACTCGGACCCCATCTGTGAGGCCTAAGAATTAGGAGCGAAACCGTTCCCCTTTCTGTCCCCAGAAGCGCCCGGGTGTGCGAGGAGCGCCAGAGGAACAACCACATCATGACGCAAGGAGCAGCGAGCTCCTTTCCGAACCCGAGCTGTTGCAGACCTCCTGCGCCTTGGCCGTAACCACCAACCCGATCGGGTGTTGCCAGAAGTGCCCATGGCCCGAGGTGCCCCCCGAGTCTCCGAGGAGGCCCCCACGGCCTCCAGAGGACCCCATCCAACGCCCCAGAGGACCTCAGGGGCTCCAAAATGGGGCGACAAGCTGGGGCACCTTGGCCCGGGGGTACCTTTAACATCCCTCGATCTCGATCCTGGGCCCCAAGAAGGGGCCCAGCCGGGGTCGGCGTCCCGCGGCTGCGCGGCCCCCCGGGGGGTGGACCTGCTCGACGGCGCGGTCGAAGACGGTGAGGACCTGCGGGGTGCGGGCCGCCGCCCCGACGGAGAGGGGCGAGAAAGGGGCGGAGTCGGTGGGGAGGCAGGGCGGATGGGGATACCCAGACATCGGATGCCTTGCTTTTTGCAGCATGGGGCCCCCAGAAGTCCCAGCCCTTCCCCCAGGGCCGGTTCTTCATCCCGGGTGGCCTTTTGTGAAGGGGCCCCAGGACACACAAATAAATACACACAAATAAAGATATCCCCATGCTTTATCATATTTTATGGGTTTCTGTCTTCCCCCCCACTTCCCATATTTTCCCATATTTTCTGGGGAACCGACGATTAATTGTGTCTGTGTGTTTTTTTCCCCTCCTGATTTTGGCGGTCCAAGGGCACGGCGAGGGCCCCCGGAGGCCGAAGCAGGCCATAAACCTTCTGGCACGTAGTTCTCGTCGCGGCGCGAGCATGTCTGGGTGCGTAGGTGGGGCAGGATGGAGGGGGGATGCATAGGCAGGGCAGGGAGGGGGGATGGGTCAGGCAGGAAAGGAGGGGGAAGGAAGGGGATGCAGAGGAGCAGGTGCTGGGGCGGGAGGTGGCACGGGAGCAGGAGGAGGACGAGGGCGAGGAGGACGACGATGACGAGCAGAAGGATGCCGAATAGTTTTCCGCCGTGGTTTTCACGAAGCGGGTATCTCTGGGCCTTCCTGCTAAGGAAATATGTCAAAACAAAACAAAAAGGTCCTCCTCCTCCCAGCCGCCCCCCCTCTTGAGAGTGAGAGACTTTTTTGAACGAGCCTCGGGCGACGCGGCGGCGAGCCCCAGGCGTGGCCTCCCTGTCGGCCGCGCGAGGTGGTCGTCGTCGTCGTCGTCGTCGTCGTCATCGTCGTCGTTGTCGGCGTCGTCGACGTCGTCCTCGTCGTCGTTGTCGGCGTCGTTGTCGTTGTCGTCGTCGTCGGCGTCGGTGTTGGCGTCGGCTTCGGCGTTGGCGTCGGCGTGGTAGTCGGCGTCGTCGTCGTCGTCGTCGTCGTCGTCGTCGTCGTCGTCGTCGTCGTCGTCGTCGTTGTCGACGTCGGCGTCGGCGTCGGCGTGGTAGTCGTCGTCGTCGTCGTCGTCGTCGTCGTCGTCGTCGTCGTCGTCGTCGTCGTCGTCGGCGTCGGCGTCGGCGTCGGCGTCGGCGTCGGCGTCGGCGTCGGCGTCGGCGTCGGCGTGGTAGTCGGCGTCCTCGTCGTCGTCGTCGTCGTCGTCGTCGTCGACGTCGGCGTCGGCGTCGGCGTGGTAGTCGTCGTCGTCGTCGTCGTCGTCGTCGTCGTCGTCGTCGTCGTCGTCGTCGTCGTCGTCGTCGTCGTCGAAGGGCGCGTGCGGGGGCGGGGGGAACAGCGGGAGCAGAAGCGCTGTGGCTGCCGCCCCCGCGCCCACCCCCCGTCCTTCACCGGCTGGGGGGCGGGGGCGCGCGCGCACGCGGGAGGAGGGGAGCCGAGGAGTCTGCATCGGCTCTGCACGCCCGCCATCTTGGGGTTGGGGGGTGGCGGCCGCTGTGGTGTGTGTGTGTGTGTGTGTGTGTGCGTGCGTGCGTGCGTGCGTGTGTGTGTGCGCGTGTGTGTGTGTGTGTGCGTGTGTGTGTGTTTGCCGTCTGGAAGTCCTCGGCGCGTCGGAAGGCGAAGTGTGCGCGCACGCGTGTCTGTGTGTGTGTGGGTGCGTGGATGTGCGCGCATTTGTTTGCTCATTTGGGTGTCTGTGTGTGTGTGTGTGTGTGTGTGTGTGCGCGCCTCCTCTCAGCTGGTGATCCCCAGGCCTCCAGCCCAGGGTCGCCTCGCCGCCACCTTCACTCGTGGTCACCTGCTTTCAACTCGCCCCCTTCGGTAGTTCCTTGTCTTCTCTCCATCTCTGCTGCTGCGTCTGTCCTGCCCTTCCTTGCCACTCGCCCCATTCGGTCCTACCTGTAGGCACTGCGCCTCGCATTGTCCTCTTTGTAATGTCGGCAATTGCCTTTCGGCACCGCCTCGTCCTTTTCCTTCGTCTGTCCCCCCCGCAGCCCACGCCCTGGTGTGCGCATGGCACGGTTAATGCCCTCGGGTGGGTCACTGTCCCCGCCTTCTGAGTGGGGAGGCCGCGCGCGTTTGCCGCGCCCCCCGACCTTCTACGCCTCGACGCTGCGCGCGAGGTCGCGAGGTCTAACAGTGCGTGCGTGTGTGTGTGTGTGTGTGTGTGTGTGTGTGTGTGTGTGTGTGAGCTTGTGTGTGTGTGTGTGTGTGTGTGTGCTTGTGTGCGCTTGTGTGTTTATGTGTGTGTGCTTGTGTGCTTGTTTGTTTGTTCGTTCCTTTGCTTGTCTGTGTGGCTCTTCGTCTGCTGGACTCTGCTTCTTGTTCCCCGCCTGCTCTCAGGCTGGGCCGCTGCGGGGGCGGGGCTACTGCTCGCGCGCCCCGCATGGGTCGGGGGCCCGCAAACATGGATTAGCGATCCATGGATTTGGCGCGCGGTCGCCACATCCATGGATCGGGGGAGGTGCCCTCCCCAACATGCGGCCGGTGCCGCCTCCTTCGGCGGCAGACATCCGCGACTTCCCATGGAAACGGGACCCGTCGCCAATCCACGCCCCCTTGGTCCATGTTTGCGATCCTCGGCTACACGTAAGAGTGACCCTGGGTAAGAGTGACCTTTGGTGCGCGGCTCTGGGGGGGCCGCGGGGAGGCCAACTCCAAGCGCGCTAGCCGCTGCTGCCGCTGCGCGTTCAGCCATCTGGGGGCCCATCTGTGCCCGCACCAAAGGTCACTCCGGCGAAAGGTCACTCTTACGTCTAGTCGAGATCCCCTGAATGGGTCCGGCGCAGCCCGGCGCCCTTCCCGCCGACCTCCCCGCCGCCCGCCCCCCGCCCCCCCTTGGGCGCCTCGTTGTGCCACTCGGGGCTCGCGCGGGACCGCGCAGGGGGCACGGCGCTGGCCCGGTCGCCTGCGGACAGGCGTTTGTCGTCGCCGTCGTCGTCGTCGTCGTCGTCGTCGTCGTCGTCGTCGTGGTCGTGGTCGTGGTCGTCGTCGTCGTCGTGGTGGTGATGGTGGTGGTGGTCGTTGTCGTCGTCGTCGTGGTTGTGGTAGTGGTGGTCGTCGCCGTCGTCTTCGTTGTCGTCGGAGGAGGAGGACATGGGGAAGGAGGATGAGGGGGGGAGTAGGAGGAGGGATGAGGAACGGGAGGAGGAGGGAGAAGGATGAGGAGGGAGGAGAAGGGGGAGGGAAGAGTTACTTCTCGCTTGTTCCCCGAATGCTGCTCAGAAAGCCCACATCTGTGCGAGAGAGCGCGTCTCTCTTGAGCGTCGCAGCCTAACTAGGAGGAGGGATGCAGGAGGCGGAGGAGATGGGAGGAGCAGGACAGAGAAGCAGGAGGAGAGGAGGAGGAGGAGGAGGAGGAGGAGGGAGGAGAGGAGGAGGAGGAGGAGGAGCAGAGGAGGAGGAAGGAGGAGGAGGAGGAGGAGGAGGAGGAGGAGAGGATGACGGGGAGGAGACTGAGGAGGCGAGGGAGACAGGAGGCAGGAAATGGAGGGAGTGCGTGGAGGGAGGATGGGGCCTTGGCCCCTATGGTCGCCTGCGCGCTTGGCCTCTTCTGCCGCACGCGCCGCCTCGGCCACGGCGGCCTGGTGCATGGTGCTGAGCATCTGCGCGGTCAGGTTGGCCAGCGTCTGGGCGCGAAGGGGGCAGAGGAGAATGGTGATGATGATGATGATGATGATGATGATGATGATGAGGAGGAGAGAGGAGGAGGAGGAGGAGGAGGAGGAGGAGAAGGGGAGGAGGAGGATGAGGAGCAGGAGGAGGAGAAAGAAGAGAGGATGCGGAGGAGGAGGAGGAGGAGGAGGAGGAGAGAGGAGGAGGAGGAGGAGGAGGAGGAGGAGAGGAGGAGGAGGAGGAGGGGGAGGGGAGGAGGAGGAGGAGGAGGAGGAGGAGGAGTGACAGCACCCTGGGAGGAGGATGAGGAGGAGGAGGAGGAGGAGGAGGAGGAGGAGGAGGAGGAGGAGGAGGAGGAAGAAGAGAACGAGGAGCAGGAGGAAGACGATGAGCAGAAGGAGGATGAGGAGGACGACAGGGGGTGGGGGGATGGGCGGGGGAGGGAGGTGAGGACGAGGAGGGAGGGAGGCTGCGACGCTCCACCCCCCCTGTTTCCCGATGATGGTCCACCACGCCGCCTTGCTGCTGCGCCGCCTCAGCCTGGCTCCTCTTTCTCCGCTCCAGCGCCCGCCCTTGCCCTCAGAAAAATGAAAGCCACGTGCGGTCTAGCCTCATTGAAACCACACACAGGCCACCGAACCCCCACAGAAACCTAGAGACCACTGGCCACCCTAACATCTCCTCCTCCTCCTCCTCCTCTTCTTCCTCATCCTCGTCTTCGTCGTCGTCCTCCTCGTCCTCCAGAAACCAAGAGAATGCACTACATTCACCCCCAAACCAACGCACCCCCTCCTCCGTCTCTTCCTCATCCATCCCCTCCGGCTCCCGCCCCCCGTCCCCCTTATCTACCTCCTTCCCATCTGCCTTCCTCCACCTCCCCTTCTTGCTGTGCCTCCTCCTCGTCCTCCTCCTCATCCTCAATCCCCTGCAGATTCTTCATTCTTCTTCTTGCTCTCCTCCTCCTCCTCCTCCTCCTCCTCCAAGCGGGGAAGGGGTGGGGAGTTGGGAATGTGGGTGGGGGGGATGGGGAGGAGGAGAGGGGGAGGAGGAGGAGGAGGAGGAGGAGGAGGAGGAGGAGGGAGGAGGAGGAGGAGGAGGAGGAGGAGGAGGAGGAGGAGGAGGAGGAGGAGGAGAAGGATGAGGATAATGATGAGGATGAGGAGGAGAAGGATGAGGAGGAGGAGGAGGAGGAGGAGGAGGCGAAGGAGGAGGAGCAGGAGGAGGAGGAGGAGGAGGAGGAGGACGAAGAAGAAGAGGAGGCCGACGACGACCGCGAAGCCCGCCTCTCTGGGTGACCGCGGCGGCGGAGGCGCTGCGGCGGCGAAGAAGGGGTCGGCGACGAAGAGGGGGTCGGCGCCCATGTCGGCCCTCAAAGGTATCTTCACGGGGAGGCTGCCGTCCTTCGGCGGGCCGCGGGCCGCAGGAGATCGGCACCGCAGGGCCGGAGCACGAGCGGGGAGGAGTTTGGGGGCGGCAGAAAGGGGGTGGTGAGGATGGTGAGTATGGCAAGGAGGTGCTGGAGGAGGAGGAGGACGAGGAGGAGGAGGAGCGAACGACCCCAGAGCGCGGTTTCTCCCTGCTGCTCTAGGCACCGCATCTGCGGCCGCGGCGGGGCCCGCCACTCAGAGCCTGGTCGTTGGGCGCCTGCGGGAGGTCGAGGTCGACGGCGGAGTGTCGTCCTCGTCGTAGTCGAACTGTGAGCCAGCTGGCGGGAGAGGCCAGCAAGGTCGAAAACGTTGTCCTCGTGGGTCGGCGTCTCGCAGTCGTTGATGTGTGTCGGTGCTGTAGAGGATCTGCTTGATGTTGCTTGCCTCCTCTGCGAGGGCCTCCGTCTCCATCATCACGTCAGCTGCCTGTGTCGCCGACGCATCGCCAGGTGAGGTCGTGAGAAGGCCCCCACCTCCGTCGCAGGCCCAAGCGACATATGGACAGTGCCTTGCCCCAGTACCAGAGCAGGTGGAAATGCATCTTGTGAACCAGCTGCTTGACCTTGCGAGGTCGCGGGGGAACCCCCCACCTCCGTCGCGATCCCAAGCGATGTAGAGACAGTGGGGGGAGCCAGAGGAAGCCCTTGCGGAGGAGCGTCTCGTGCGTCCGCAGCTTGCACATGTGAGGTCGCGGGGGACCTCGCCGCCTCCGTCGCATTCCCAGGCGACATAGAGACACTGGGTGGGGCCAAAGCCCGTACCTGTGGATGTGCGCCGCGTTCGTCAACAGCTCGCTTTCGTGAGGTCGCGGGGGAAGCCCCCCAACCTCCGTCACCACGCCATGTGACACAGAGACAACATGGAGCCCCAGAGCTTGTTCAGGTAGTCGTGCAACTTGGCAGGTTCGGATCGCGTGGGCGGCACCTTGCGATGACGCCGCTGTGCCGGGCTCCACCTCGCCAGTCCCTGGCCCGCGACGCTCTGTAGCTTCCTTCGCCTCGGCTGCTGTGGGTGCAGACGTTCCAGCGGGGCCGAAGTGAAGATGAGAGCCTCCACCCGCCCCGTTCGGGAAATGTACCGTGAGCCCGTGAGCGGCAGCCGTGGCGTCGAACTCGTCCGGGTCTCCAGGCGGAGGTGCTGGCGGTGTGCCAGTGCCGCCAACAAGTGCGAGGCCTGGCGGGTCATCGGGAGGTGGTGGGGCCAGAGCTTCTAGCCTTTCCGGCGGACCGCCGTGGGCAGCCCCGGTGCCCTCTTGCGCCAGCCATTAGAGAAGCGTCGCCAGGCATGTCTGGACCGCGGGGGCCCGCAGGCGTAGAGAAGCTGCCAGCGCTGCTGCCAACGTGGTCGCAGTCGATGCGGTCGCTGGGGCTGGGGGCAGCGAGCGGCGCTCTGGCCGGCAGAGGGCGCCGCGTCGGGATGCGGTTGAATGTCTTCCGACGTGTTGACCATGGCGCGGCTGGCCTCCATCGCGAGGCTCGTGAGGTGGTCTAAGTCCATGTCGGGGCCGTCATTGTCGCCGTTGGCCTTCAAGTTGGCAGGATCCCCGAAGTGGTGCTCGAAATTCTTGTCAGACATCGTGTCGTTTCCGTACAAGGTGGCACCGCCCTCGATCGCGGCTTTCCTTCCGTGTGAGCTGCATCGTGGTCGCCTTCCATCATCTGGAGGTCGGCGTCAGTCGGGTTCGGGTGGCGGAAGGATGTTGCTTCGAGGTCGCCTCCGTCAGCTTTGATGGGCCCACTTTCCACCACCACTACCATAGGTAGGACAGCGAGGAGGAGGAGGAGGAGGACCTCCTCGTCCTCCCTTCTTCCCCTGTCCTGCATCTGGCAGTGGTGGTGGAAAAGCTGCCCATCAAGCTTGGCCATCACGATCCCCGCATGGGTCGTCCAGAAGATGCGCGGGCCGCGGTGCGAGCAGAAGCGGTGGTGCGGGTCTTAGCTGCGCAGATACGCAAGACGTAACATGTAGCGTATTTATACGGAGCTCAAGACGTGGACTGAAAACGCAGGTCTGACGCGATACGTTCGCCAACGCGTGGGCCAACACGTTGAACCAACACGCAACGTATCGACCCGCACGCTTTGAGCACGGTGCGCGCTGCGTATCAACACGGGCGTATTGAGGCAGCTGAGGGCAGTGCGGGTGGCTGGGGGGGGGCCTCGCCCGTGGGAGGTTTTGGCGCTCGCCCCCCCGCGTGCGCGCCGCGTCGTCGGGCTCCCAATGAGTTCGCTGGCGGAGGTGCTCGAACGCCCTCGTCGGGGGCGGTCCACGAGGGGGGGCGTCCACGAGGGGGGGGCGCACACCGTGGCCCGCGGCACGTGCGCGGCCCCATGGGGGCGCCGGGGACGTGTTGAAGTAAGACGAGGCGCCATGGCACTTGGGGAGATCTCGTGCCCCCCGCCATGATATCCCCCCCCCCCCCAGTCATCACTCCCCTCTTGGCCGCCCCCGACCTCAGTCGGAGCGCGTCGTCGGGCCGCGGTGGCTGAAGGCGATGCCGTCGCCGTCCCCGTGCACTCCCAGAGCTGTGCCGCCTCCCGCCATGCAGATATCCCGTGCCGGCCCTTCCCGAAGGCGGGGGTCCGATGCCCCTCCTGCCCGCGGGCCAGGGGGGGGGCCCGAAGATCGGCTCGAATCCCTCATGGCGCGGGATGTCCGTGACGTGGGGGGTGCACCAGCCCAACCGCTCCTGGAAGTCCGAGCCGCTGGTGCGCGCGCACAGCGAAGGCAACCGCTTCTGGGCCCAGCTTGCTGCCTGATCCGCGAGTTCGCGGCGCCGTTGCTCGTGGCGGGCCCGCGGCCGCAGTGGCCGACGGGGGCGCGTCGCCGTGGGGAGCGCTGCGAAGATGCGGGGTAGGAGCCAGCCTGCCATCCCGCGCTGTCGGCGCCGACGAGGAGTCCGAGAAGTTGTCTTCGGCCAGGAGGTCGTCGCTGTCATGCTCGTTGGTGTCGTCTCTGGGGAAAGCGGCGTGAGAAGGGGAAAACAACGGGGGCAAGCATCGAAGACTTCCGCTATGCCAGAGATGCCACTGTCCGACGAGCTTGGGATGTCGGTGAGGAGCTGGTACTGTTTGATGTGCTGCTCGGCTGTGGTGGGCGACGTGTGAGGTGCGACTCGAAGATGTTGTGGGCTTCGACACGGGTGTCAACGTTCGGAAGGCACTGGTCCCCGTCCAACCTCCGCGCTGTGGCCATGATCGGTGCTGTAGATCGGGCCCTCGATCTGCGTGTAGGAGCCGAGAGAGCCTTGAGCTCGAGGGCCCCTTTAGCCGCTTCCTCGAGCTCGGGGATGGGGGCCCAGTCCTTGGACCGCAGTCTGTTGTGCGTCAAGTGCTTGCAAGGGGAACTCAAGGCTGTTTTCGTTGGGGTCGATGATGCCCCGTCTCCGTAGGGGGTCGCTGTCCAGGGAGACCCGTTCGCCAGATCGTGCCACGGCCAGTCCGTACATGAGCCTGCGGCATGAAAGTCGATGGGGCGTGTCGTCGGCTTCGTGCTCGCAGCCGAAGGTGCACGAATGTTTGCCGCTGAGTTATGGGATCCGATATGAGGTGAGCCAGCCTCCAGCCAACGATCGCAGGAGCGCATGCGCCCATGCGGGGGGCCAGGCGGGGGGCATGGTAGAGAGCAGCAGCTGTGTGCGCCACCATGGCGCGCAACGGATCTCGGCGCTGCGGTCAGGGAGCCCGTTCGTCCAGCGTCGGATGGAAGGCGGGGAATGCGATGCGGATTAGCCAACAATTCCCGCTGGTGCCACTCTGCCGTCAGGGTGTCGTAGCCAGGCCTCTGGTATTTGCATGTGGTGCTCGGCGTGGCAAACTTGACTCTGATCGCTGCAGCGGCCTGGGCGATGTCCGTGTGCGGCTGGTGGTCGAGGCTGCCCTTCTCGATCTCGCCCAGCGTTGTCGGCAAAACGAAGTGTGCTCCAAAAAGAGAAGCCAAGGGAAGTCGGAAGTTCGGCTAGCACCCGATCGTCTCCCTCCTCCTTCCAACCTCCTCCGTCCTCCCTCCTCCCTCCTCCCCCCTCCTCCCTCCTCCCTCCTCCCTCCTCCCTCCTCCTCCTCCCGCATCCTCCTCCTTCTCCTCCTCCTATCCTACTCCTCCTCCTCCTCCTCCTCTCCCCTCTCCTCCCTCCTCCTCCTCCTCTCTCATCCTCCTCCTCCTCCTCCTCCCTCCCCCTCCTCCCTTCACCCTCCACTCCCTCATCCCTCCCCCTCCTCCCTCCTCCCTCCTCCCTACCTCCTCCTCCTCCCTCCTCCCCTCCTACTCCTCCCTCCTCTCCCTCTCCTTCCTCCACCTCCTCCTCCTCCTCCTCTCCTCCTCCTCTCCTCCTGCTCCTCCCCCCCTCTCCTCCTCTCCTCCTCCTCCTCCTCCTCCTCCCTCCCCTCCCTCCCTCCCTCCTCCCTCCCTCCATCCCTCCCCCCTCCCTCCCCCCCTCCTCCCTCCCTCCCTCCCTCCCTCCTCCCTCCCTCTCCTCCCTCCCCCCCTCCCTCCCTCCTCCCTCCTCCCTCCTCCCTCCTATCCCTCCTCCCTCCTCCCTCCTCCCTCCTCCCTCCTCCCTCCTCCCTCCTGCCTCCTCCTCCTCCCTCCTCCCTCCTCCTCCTCCCTCCTCCTCCTCCCTCCCTTCCTTCCTCCTCCCCCTCCTCCTCCTCCTCCTCCTCCTCCTCCTCCTCCTCCCTCCTCCTCCCCTCTCCTCCTCCCTCCTCCCTCCTCCCCTTCCTTCTCTCCTCCTCCTCCTCCTCCTCCTCCTCCGCCTTCTCATCCATCTGTTGGCAGCAGCCGACAGACGGCTCTGGAAATCCGACGCCCGCTGGGGGGGTGATCAGCGCAGATCGGGTGAGAGCGGCCCAGGCCATGCGCCGGGCAGATAGGAGCTTGGGCTCACTGTATGGGGAAGAGACGCGGGAGGAGGAGGATACTGATGAGAAGGAGGATGAGGAGGGAAGAAGGAGGAGGAGGAATGAGGAGGATGAGGA